TTTAGGCAGTTAAATATTTCACAGTATTTAGTACACCATTTTCTTTATTTTCTTCCATCATACACAAGAATACGCGTGCGTGAGTCAATGTTCGCTCGTATGTGAGGCTTTGTCGAATAGTATCCTGTTGGTGGGCCATCGTGCGTGTTTTGTTTTCGATGTAAACTCGCGGAGATGAACAGGCCTGCCCGTATTCACAAACATTACTATGAGGTCTCAGAGTGCGCGTGGACGCATAGGGACACGATTCAATTCAATCACAATTTGGAACGAGACATAAGCTCACTGAAAAGGGCTTTACATATAAAGAATTTCAATTTGTTGATGTTGGGATTTTAAAAAAATGCGATTTTTATCAAAGTCGCGCCTTCAAAAAATTGCAAATACGCCCATTTGCGACGACAGTGTGACATCTTCAATTAGATTAACATAGGAGATGTCACACTGTCGTCGCAAATGGACGAATGTCCATTGGCAATCAATGAAAGTAAACGTGAGCTTACTAAAGGTTCGGACAAACCAACGCGTGCAGCGATGGCGACCACCGCGCGTGCAAAAGTTGTGTCACACTGCCGCGACCGCGATGGCGATCACTGCGCGTGCAGGTTGTCACTGTCACCACAACTGTCACTGTTCGTTCAGGGTTCATGGGCCAGTCGGCTAGCATGTTGTAGGTCGCGGTCGATGCTGACGTGCTCGTACAGTATCCTTGTGGGCAAGTAAGATTATAACCAATTCATCTTTTTCCTTAAGGGAAAAAATTTGCCCCCATTACCTTTTACCACTTTTCTTATCGTTAAATCGCACAAAACTACACATAACTCAACACAACATCTATCAAAATCAATTTTCATTTTTATTTTTGGTGCAACAGTCATCTTGACATTTACTTTTTTTAAGGCAAAGGAAATTACATTATGCACCCAAACCACAGAGTACATAATAATCCAAATATCTTTTTTGTCTTTAATAATAACCCAAAAATAAAAAAAGACATCAGTTTTAATCAACTAGGTGTTTCTAGTGGCACTAAATTAATGACTGAGACGTTTGATGACTTTAATTATGTTTTTATTTATGGCATACTTAGATTAATTGCTCTAGGGCCTTTGAGAAAGCTGCAGACATGTACATTCTCAATTATATTGTTCTGCAGATAATATCCCAATTTTATTTATGAAGTTGAAGAAGCAGGTTCTCGAGAAAACTAGAATAATTTGTTTATTACATAAAAATAAATTCTGATATTGATACTTTATTCTAAAACCTTTTTTATTATTCAAGTAGGTCAGACTAGTGGTATGTTATGAATAATTCATTTTGAATTGTGTAAAAACTTTTTAACAGATCCTACTTACTATTTATTACATCGATTTTAAAAAACAGAAACGTCACAGTGACAAATGTCGCGATGATCGCTGATCGCTGCGTGCAGACGCTGCATAGATCGCCGCGACCAATGACAGGACGCGTTGATGTGAACACATCGCTACAAATTCATACACGCTGTCTGGTCGCCATCGCCATCGTCATCGTGCACGCCGGCTGCACGCGTTGGTCTGGTTTAACCTTAAAACATCAAGAAGCTTACTGAAGTCTTTTACATAATAAGATTATAAAATTAATCTGAAATAATATTAATATCGAAGAAAATGTCTCCAAACAGCACACAACAACAGAATCAATATCACGCTTCACGAAAGCTCTCGCCAAAATACACGCTCATTTGATTGAAACTCGATTATTTCGGCATCGAGAGTTCGCTAGTCGGTATGTGTCTGCGATTCGATTAGCAAACGAGTGTTTGCCCGCCCTCTATAAATATAAGTTTAAATCGGATGAGTCCCCGAGCGAATCAGTCATCCGTTCATTTGCTCTAGAGTTTACAGGTTGAACAAGTACGAGTACTTAACTAGTTTGGTTTGCATGATATTGATTAATTAAACGGTTATTTTGAGCTTTTATTTACTTTGTTACTTTTATTTCAAAATCTTTACAGGTAGGAAATAGCGACAGAAGATGGGATGACGAATCAATTACATTTAAGTTAAGGATCAAAGTTTCCTATGACCTCTTTGTCAAAAAAAGCTACGACAGGCCGGAAAATACAAGGGCAGAATCTAGTTATTATGTAAACAACCCTTTTACCGGCTAAGGGCTGATTTTTCAATCGTCAAATATATTTTATCTGAAGAATAACTTTGTCATTTTGACATATTTCCCATACTAAAACTGTCAATGTGTCAAACTTATTCTTCAGTTAAAAGTTATCTGACGATTGAAAAATCAGCCCTAAATATAATCTTTGTTTTCGTAACCATTTGCAACAAAACTATTTCCCTTTTCAACCCTCGCAAGATGACCTGAGAGCGAGTGTCTAAACCTTTGATCTTACGTGAACCAATTTCTATGTTTATAAAAATCCCTTCTCTTCCCATCCTATATTAAAAGTATGAATAACGTTTCCAGAAGTCGTTCAGATATTTTTGGGATTATGTTTCGAGACCCACTATTTTATTGTTGGATGTAAGCTTATTAGATTTCGAGGATGAAAGGTTTTATTTTTATTGTATCCCATTTTCAGTTAGGTTCAGACACGGCACATTAAGGAAACACTTCAGCACCTTATATTAGTTGTGATAAGCACGAATTTGCAATAAAAATGTTTCTTCTGTACATCCAATAAAATAACAATAGAAGCTACTCGTGGCAAGGGGAGAGGATGATGGTTGCGTTCTCTAGGATTTTGTTTGCAGGTTTAAAAGCTGGTAAATGGAAAAAACATGTTCCATTAAGTAAATAAACGCTGGGTTTGTCTAGATCTCTTCAGGCAAAGTCTAAGCGTCTGCTTAGGTTCAATCATTGACTACTAAAGAATTACAGTTTATTTTTAGAGTGCAGACAGACCTAACACCACCACCAACAAGGTGGACCGATGACCTCATAAAGGTAGCGGGAAGGCGCTGCATGCAAGCCACCACCAACTGGCCATTGTGGAAATCATTGGGGGAGGGCTATGTTCAGCAGCGGACGTCCTATGACTGAAATGATGACGATGATGATGAGACAGACCTAAAGCTAACCCATTGCCTACCTATTGTGCAGCATAATGATTAGAAACAAATTGGTAATTAAAAGATCTTTAAATATTGTATACGTTTTAGGATGTAAGGTAAGTGGTATCCTCACATATTGTGAGGACAGACTGATTGCAACGCTACACAAACGCTACGGGCTACATCTACGTAGCTTATCTCTCTCATTACTTTACTACGTGTAAATGTAACAGTGTGACTTATGCTAGGTATAAAATCCACAATACCTTATCAGTGTCACCCATTCGTTTACCAAACAAAAGTTGATACAGTGTGTGATCTAAGCCTTAGTTTGAAACCTTAAATTACGCCATCTATCATAATACTGAAACACTTTGTTCTTGCTAGAGACTACCGTGGTCAGCTCCAGATTTGAAAAAGATGTAGTTCTAGCGCTTTGGAACAGAGGGCTCTGTCCCACAATAATAAAATGTAGAAAGGAAAATATTTATGTGACGAAAGTAGGTACCTACTTAACTAGTAAATGAGATTTTTAATTTTAAGATAATAATTATATTTCTTGTGTTTTCAAATAAATGTAACCTATTATTCATTATTTAATTCTTAACCTTAATTTAGATAGTGAAGCAATTTCTACCGATAAAAAATTAATGACAATAGAATCGGAAGAATAGTCTAAACTCGCTGTTAAATAGGTACGAGTAGTTTAAAGTAGTTTTGCCAGTTACACACAGATCATCAAATTCCGATCTGGGCCCGATTCTAATTTGAATGAAGAATCGGCCGATACCATATCGGTGTACTTAATGTGCTCACTTTCATATTCTCCATAGTGATTAAAACAGCCTGACCCAACTATCGGCCAACTAAAAATCGGTGGTCTGCGCCTAGGCTAAAATATCAGTGGGCCGATTTTTCTAACTCTATTTTACTGAATAGTTCCTATGTGATATAGATGATCCACACTGAACTGTCCCACCAAACTCAATGACAGGGGGGCGCTACCATCGTTCAACTAAATGGTTTCCAACATGGCAAAAATCGGAACCAGCGATCCGGTATTTACGGTGGCGCCCCACTGTCAATGTCATGGATAGGACAGTTCAGTATTTTGGAACTATATTAATAAATGTCAAAGTTTTAATGTCAATCAATTTTACTCTTCAATTAAAAGTCGGACGATTGAAAATGGATAGTAAATTGTATCACTAATGATAATTATAAAACAAAAGAAAACAAACCTTTTCTCCTCAGTTCCCGCCGCACGCTTTTCCGGGCCCGGGTAAGAGCAGCAAATACTCTTCACACTCACAAAATATAACTGTCAATACCCTCACATACATTTTTATGACGTATTAGCACATATTGATGAAAAAATCGTAAATATTATAGAGTCTGGATTCCACACTCACTGAATTCACTAAATTTTGGAAATTGACAAATAAATAAACCGCTATTGCGCACGGGCGCTTTGAAACTACTCGCAGCGCGCGTCTAACTTCACACTGCATTGCTCTGTCACTTGCAAGCGCAGCAACTTCAGATTGAAATGTAAAACAACTTATTAATTTGTAAATATTTATATTAGTTTATAAAAATGTTACATTTAATTATTTCTGTTATTAAATAAAATTTCCTTTTTGTAAAATAGGGCATTTACTGTATTTATTAGAAAAATCTAAAATTTAATTGAGATAGCGTTGGCAAAGTGCAGCAATTCTTTACTTTGACTGCATCGATTGTATTTGAATGCATTTTTATGGCACTTACCGACTGAATAAACATTTTGAGTGTATTTTAGAGATTAATTATTATTAACGCTAATAGCACATGTAACATACCCTAATACACATTTATTTTAAGTTCCACTGGATCTCGTACGAAATATTTATTGATTTGAAGAAAGCAGGTGAAAATAAAAACAAGAAAATCAAACAACCAGAATATATAAAAATCACAGTCGTTTATTAATAATAAATACTGGTAATTAGGATAGGTATAGAGATTTTACCAAAAATCCTTAGCGTAATGAAAGGTACTTCAAGGATATCTAATTAAAATCTAGAATGCAATGTTCAAGTGTTGAGTAAATACGAGTGGAACCGCCTATGTCTTCGCGTTATAAATTTAAATGAACTAATATCATAATTACTAATTAAGGAACTTAACATTAAGTCATGGGCCCAATCTCCTATAAAACCTTAACAGCTAACCCCTAAAGGTACGTATAAACAATCTAAATCTCATCTGCGTCCTAAAAAGCTAATTATTTCGAAAACTAATTCATAATTCCGGATAGGGACGCTCGATACACACGAGTAAAGCAGAGGCGTGCTATTGAGCAGAATACGCGCGTCCATATCGCAAGAATCCGTGGAAAACCGCCGTAAGCAACTTTGTGCATAATCTACTGCATCATCTTCAACTTGAACCTTAGAACTAGGTATGAGATTACTCTTATAAAGACGAAGAAAGCGGACAGCGCGCCTACATCCACCCAGAAATTCGCCTGATCCATGGTCATTTCTTTCAAGAATTTGTCTGGTTTCCTGAAATGGCAGTAGGCCTCGGAGCACTTGAGTTTTTCTCTTTCGAAACCGTAGACGGAGAGCATGGCTCCTTCGAAGCCGTATCGTACGTAGCTGAGGTAGGTCAGCCATTGGAGATAGCTGGGGATTGCGTTGAAGTTGACGAAGAATCCTGAGAAGAGAACGACTGGGATGGTTGTGACGGGGCCGAGGTAGACGCCTGTTTCGATCTTCATGGCGGCTCCGATGAGGAGGCCGAGGGACTGCGCCACTAGAGCCGTGAGGATGTTGATGGTGACGAACATCAACACCCGTTCCGTCTGCATAGGCTGCCCTGTCATGAAGTATACTATCATCACGTATACGCCGCTGAAGACTATCTGTAAAGGAAATTTATCTATATACAGGGTGTTAGGTAAATGGGTATATGAGCTGACACTAGCCCATGTTAACATGGGCATATAAATGGTATGGTGAAGTCAGAAAATTGAATTGAAATTTTTTAAATCTTCATACAAAATAAAATTTATAAAATCCGAGATGTATGAAAATTAAAATAATTAAATTTAAGATATCAATTTTNTATGGTGAAGTCAGAAAATTGAATTGAAATTTTTTAAATCTTCATACAAAATAAAATTTATAAAATCCGAGATGTATGAAAATTAAAATAATTAAATTTAAGATATCAATTTTCTGACTTCACCATACCATTTATATGCCCATGTTAACATGGGCTAGTGTCGGCTCATATACCCATTTACCAAACACCCTGTATATAAAAGAAAGTCGTGTTAGTTACACCACTTATAACTCAAGAACGGCTGAACCGATTTAGCTGAAAATTGTCAGGGAGGTAGTTTAGAGCCAGGAGAAGGACATAGGATACTTTTTATCCCGTTCGAAATTTAAAAAAAAAGTCTGCTTATTTATTGCCATTAAGGCGGAACAAAGTTCGCCGGGTCAGCTAGTATAAAATAAATCGCACATCACAAAAGTGAACATTTCTCCCTTCGTCAGGGTCTCATAATAGGCCAAGAAGAGAAGCTCTTGTTATATTACAAAACTAGCGGCCGCCCGCGACTTCGTACGCGTGGATCCCGTTTTACCCCCTTAGGGGTGGAGTCTTGTAAAATTATTTCTTAGCGGATGCCTACGTGTTCTACCTGCATGATAAATTTTAGCCTGATCCGTCCAGTGGTTTGGGCTGTGCGTTGATAGATCACTATGTCAGTCAGTCAGTCAGTCACCTTTGAGTTATATTTATTTAGATATGGAAAAAAAACTGCTGCTATTTACGAAGATATTCATCGAACGTACAGCTATTCGAATTCTCAAAATTCATTAAGTCAAAATTGTTTGTAAGAAATTCTTCAAATTCTGATAAGATGCTTATTTATTTATTTTATTTATTTATTTATTTATTTATTGCACATAATGAATACACTGTATATTGTTAGGTACTAGGTACTAACATACAAATGCACACCCGGTTGGGCACAGCAATACAAAATAACAGTTATTAAATATTATTAACAATAATTAAATTTATAAATCTTAAAGTCTACTTACTTATAACTTTTATAATATATAATACAATTGCAATTAACTTAAAATATTATAATGTTAGACATTACAGTTAAAACAATATTTATTTATCAACTTAACATGAAATACTATGTTTTTCTTCCATGAATTCCTTAACATTATAAAAACTTTTACTTATTAAAAATGTCTTTAATTTATCTTTGAATATGTGATCTTTAGGTATATTTNCTGAGCCCCGATTACGGTAACTTTTATAACGTCTACAATCCAGACGCGTTTCTGATTCTGCGATACGATTGGTCAAAACAGCTGACGTACGCTGTTGAACGACCAATCGTATCGCAGAATCGAGAAGCGTGTCTGGATTGTTGACGTTAAAAATTACCGTAATCGGGGCTCAGTTTGTCGTAACTAGTCTAGATCGTATGGTTTGCGTTTCGCTAGAAGATTCGTTGTAGTGTTGTATCTGTACACATTGTTGTCTATTGTTAAGGTATGACCGAAGCCACTCATGTGCATCACCACGAATACCAACTCCATAAAGTTTTTTTTTTTTTTTTTTTATGCTAGACAAGTTTTGAAAGTAGTATTTCATGGGAGACTTTATCGTAGGCTTTGGTCATATCCAGGAACAACACTACTGCGTAACTCTTGTCATTTATGTATTTGAGTATTTCTTGGGTGTAGGTGTATACCGCTAGAGTGGTGGAGCGATTTTGACGGAATCCATATTGGTTGTTATCAAGAATATTGTATTTTTCAATGAACTTGCAGATTTTATTGGCCATAACTTTTTCAAGGATTTTTGATATTGTCGAAGGTATAGCTATTGGCCGATATTGGCTCACATCTCTACTATTCCCACCTTTCTTCAAAATCGGTTTAATCAATACTTTTTTTAGTCTACTTGGAAATGTTTTTTCTGCAAATGATTGGTTTATAAGTTTTGTTAATGGGGGGGTCAATTCTCTAGCACACGCTTTGATTAAAGTCGGTGGGATTTCATCTATACCGGAGCTATATTTATTTGAGAGGTTTTTAATAATTTTGAAGATTTCCTGCTCTGTTGTGGGCTGTAAAAACATAGAGTTGATAGTAGGGCTGATTACCGGGCAGCTTTTGTCCGGGTGTTGGTTTGATGAATCGTCCAGTATTGTAGATTTACCGATTGACGAAAGACTTGTGTGGAAATTGGTTGAAAATCAAAAAGGTCAATACGTATTTCATTGCCTGAGGAGGAGTTAAACCTAAGACCATTCTTACTGGACAGTTGCTCCACTAACTACTAATCTAATGATTTTTCCACTGATTCCTAGACTAGTACCAAGAATTATAAAAATAATAATTTACCTGGAACGGTAAGTCGGCCATAGTCTTCGCGAAGTAGAACGCCTTCAACGAGTACCAATAATTCAAATGCTCTCGCACAAACACGCTCATCTCAGTAGGGACTGGAACAAACAAAATTACATGTTATTACATTGAGCATAATAAATATTAAATAAATAAATAAATAAATATCTTTGGACAATCTCACACAGCGCCATCTAGCCCCAAAATAAGCAATTAATATGCTTGCTACTTATATACTTTTTTTTTTTTTAAATACATACATATTATACATAGTAACACCCAGACCCGTCACAGAAATTAAAATTCATCATTTCAATTTCTGCCCGGCCGGGAATCGAACTCAAATATTAAGTATTTATCTTACTTATAAAACGACCTAAGTACTAAATTGTTAGAGCGATCTTTTACATTCCGAAGTTCTAAACTATCTATCGACTCCAGTTAAACTTTTTCATCATCATCATCATCATTTCAGCAGACGGCTACCATAAGTACATCCAGTGGCTTCCTGCAACCTTTATAAGGTCATATCTCACTTGCCTGCTTTTATTAAGGTCTACGGTCTAAGGACTGACTTTGGATTTCGCCCTTCAATTGTTAAGGAAGTTGATAGCGTTTTATGCTGTTATGTAACTTACAGAACAATAGCGTAATATAAATACTGTAATTATGAAATCGCGTGTTGAAATGGTGATGTTATCTACTCGTGCCACGTTACAAAAGAACGAAGCGAACATTCGCTGTACAGTGAAATTGCCTTTGATATTCTTTACGTATTTTTAATTATTATTACCACCAAAATGTATAATAATATACCTAAGCATGAGACATAATTTCCATATCCAATGCCTACACTAAACTTCAAAGTTACAAAAACAGCAATTATAAAAATATATTCAATTTGTTTATTGTAAGAATTTTTTTGTACCTATACCAACATGGAACAATAAACAATTTGAATTTGAATCCATACCATTGCATAATTTTCTCAAAAGAGTTTCCTTACCAGCCCCCCTAGACAAAACGCACTTTTTGAACGAATCGAACATCAAATCCGTCAAAACTCCATACAAAAAAGGGGCTTTTCGACCACTTTTCGACTGGTTTGCGATTATAATTTGCAAAGTGCAAACCCACAGTATTTTATATTATTATTTTTCTTAAATTTTTCTTGTGGCGGAGTTTGGGCTGTGTAGGTTTGTTGTCGACACGAAAAGAAGAAGTATTTTATTACCATTAGGTTCTATTACAACATTATGTTATGTATACGTACTTCCCATAATTTTCTCGGAAGAGCTTCCTTGCTGCGAGTATTATTATTATCATTGGCATGATCGTCTACCTTGACAATGTCTCTACATCATACTATACATCATACTTATACACCCACTACACGTAATTCGCAAGGTCAAGTCTATGTGGCTATAATTATTTGTAGGTCACGCAAGGAAGCCTACTGGGCACGAGGAAAGAGACATATAAACTACTAGCAGTGCCCGCGACTTCGTACGGGTGAAAATCATTTTTGCTCTGCACCTATTACTTGTAGCGTAATGGTATATAACCTATAGCCTTCTTCGATAAATGGGCTATCTAACACTGAAATAATTTTTCAAATCGGACCGGTAGTTCCTGAGATTAGCGCGTTCAAGTAAACAAACAAACAAACTCTTTAGCTTTATAATATTAGTTTTAGTACTAGTATAGATAGAAATGATGTTGAATTTATTATGGCCACCAGCCGGGTTAGGATGCGCGCCGTGATAAAATCTTATGTCGATGATTTTAGACGTCAAAATGGGCTTATCGCGTTAAATCGATAAAATGCCGCGATAAACTGGGACTGGACTGGTAGTTCATTAAAGACCACAATTATATCATGTATTGTGGAATCCCACCGCAGAAGGACTAATTTAATGAATGATCAAGAAAATTTTGTAGTTGTTTTGATTGAACCTCTCGTTTTCTCGTAGCGTACCGATGCGATGTGCGCTCTAAATAAAATACAAGGTCTAGACATTTTTACAAAATTATGAACATTTTACAATGTTTTGAGATACTACATGAATAGTAATATCCATCAGTGGCCTTTACATTTACCTATCGTCTCTACGTCTCTATAAGTTACGCTAACCGCAGGACAAGCGGTTTGGTTGGGAGAGATTTGACCACTGACAGCCGCAAGCATTTATGATTATTCAGTACGCACAATAGTATGTACCTAAATAGAAGTATTTCAATAGCATATACACACGACAGCACATCAGGTTACCCATTTTTGATTCAAACCGGCCCCTATTACAACTGCACAAGAACTCACAGTGGTTACGTTGACGTGCCGTCGTCTGCACAATAGAATACAAATCATATTAAACTACCAAATACTCACATGTAAGAATAGTAGGCATCATAGCAGTGAACATAGTGAACATAACAGTGAAGAAGATACAGCCAGCGTTGCTCATAACTTTTGCCGCATCTGTTCCAATATCGTAGTATAGAAACCCGATGAGAAGACCGACCACTGTATGTGAACATAGCCTCAAATGCGTCAGCATCTGGTCTCTGAGTATACTCCGGAAAGTCCTTTTCAATAAGATCCAGAATTGCTTCCACCCTGATGTAGGGAATCCAGTCTTCACTGGTTTCTTCGAGAAACTTTCGCTCGAGTCCAAGAGTGAAGTCGTGCAAGTAACTGGTGCAAGATTGGTGGCGTTTGGTAAGTTCTGCTTTTCTGGATTCAGAGCCGGTTCGGACATGTCTATCACAGTACAGGTTGGCTTATCTGGAACGTGCAATGTTATTGGTTAATTAATACATGACCACAAACATGATGACTGAGATAATGTGTCTTTTTTGCCCAAAATATAAAGAAAGATAATTATGTGGATCATAGTTTATAAACATAAGAGTTCAATCAATACCTAACAAGAGTTTGAATCCCAACTAATATTATAAATGCGAAAGTAACTCTGTCTGTCTGTCTGTCTGTCTGTCTGTTACGCTTTCCCGCTTAAACCTCGCAACCGATTTTGATGAAATTTGGCATAGAGATAGTTTGAGTCCCGGGAAAGAACATAGGATAGTTTTTATCCCGGTTTTTGAAACAGGGACGCGCGCGATAAAGTTTTTCTGTGACAGACAAAATTCCACGCGGGCGAAGCCGCGGGCGGAAAGCTAGTAATAAATAAAAGTGTCGATTTATAAAATTAAAATTAAAATTCATAAAATTCATTTATTTTTGCAAATAGGCTTTAAAAAAGCGCTTTTACACGTCCCAATATTAACCCTACCACTGCTTCGGGACAATAAATGGGCCAGTGCTGAGAAGAAGCAGCGCAAGAAACTCAGTCACTATTGTCAGCCTCCTTTTCAAGGTTTTACAGTCTTTAAAATATACAAATTATAGTCATAAGTATTANAGAGGTTTTTAATAATTTTGAAGATTTCTTGCTCTGTTGTGGGCTGTAAAAACATAGAGTTGATAGTAGGGCTGATTACCGGGCAGCTTTTGTCCGGGTGTTGGTTTGATGAATCGTCCAGTGTTGTAGATTTACCGATTGACGCAAAGTATTCATTGAAGGTATTTACAATATGGTAGGGACATTGAGTAGTGTTTTTATTTATGTCAATGGTAATATTTTTTGGGGCCATTCTATTTTGTTTAGATGTAGTAACGCGTTTAATTATATCCCACATTTTCTTTGTTTTATTATTAGAGTGAGCCATTTCATTTACGAAGGATATCTTTTTTGACAATTTAATGCATTTTTTTAACGTGTTGGAATATTGAGTAAAGTATTTTTTAAGGAATTTATCGTTAGAGCGATTTTTAAGTGAGCTCAAGAATCTTTTATATTTACAAGAGACTTTAATTAAATTTAATTAACCACATACTTAATTGTGTCTTGTCTAAAGACTATTTTAGATAACCTTGGACATTTTACATAATGTCATCATCAGTTAAGAAGCAATTAAGCTTGTACGAGTAATAAAGGTTGTTGTTACTAAAATTACGTTTGTAAGAGAAGCATAGAATGTTACCAAATGCTTAAAAAAAATAAGGCACCTACTGTTTATGCATTTTTGGTTCCGCATCCGAGATCAAGGTATTCAAAATGGAGGAACAAAGGATGTTTAGTGACGATTCTCAATTCCCGACTGCATCATTGTCTGGCACTGTTTACTTTACTAATGGAATGCTAATTATACTTATCTAGACACACCCACCGGCGTTTTTTGCCAAAACCGAGGTTAATCAACTTGAGAGAGATGATCTCAGTGAGTACATGACTAACGTGGGTTTGTCATTTGCAAATAGGCTACCTAGGCATTGTTTAGACTAATAAGATACCTAATTTTAGGTAAAAAACACAATTTTGATGTCATGTAAGGTGAATGAATCGATTTTTACAATTATTTTTAAGCTTGAAGTTTCAGTAATTTGTCATCAATCGAAATACACATTCAATGAAAAAATCAACTGTCTACCGGTTCATAAAGCTGGCAGACAGACAAAAAGCGGAAGCGTGTTAAAATAGAGTCGCGTTAGCACTCTTTGAATACGGAAACAACACCAAAAGTAAAGTTATTTTCAATTATTCTAAAAACAAAACTATTTAAACGCAATTCCGTCTGACATTGACTGATTCCCGGTTGCAGATCCAGGGAAGATTGCTTTTAAAATGGCCCCGAAGTAACTAGGACGTGGAATGTGTCATATTTCTCGTGTACGACGTGTTTTGACGTTTTGCGCAGATTTTATTTATTATTTTAATTTAAACTTTTTGAAGATTAATGACCCAGATAAATTGGCAGTTTCTGTACGGTTCTATTTGTGGAATGGTGTGGATGTTCGAGACCTCGTGGGTGATCTATGTGAAAATAAGTCGCGTGTAAGTGTCATAAATATTGGTAAGGATGAGTTATATTGGAGCAGTTCCTTACTTAGCACGAACGACATAGGCAATATTAATAGTAGTAGGAGGTATACTACTATTAATATTGCCTATGTCGTTCGTGCTTTTAGAACTTAAAAGTAGGGACTCTGTTGACTCGGAGATTCATAGGTTTCTAGTCGTTTCTAGCTGTTTTGAATCAACCCTAGTATCCGAAAGGACAATTATCATGTGAGACACCTACGGCGATTCCTGAAGTGGGATAAGTAAATGTTATGACTTCAGACACAAACAATGAAATTGAAAGAAAATATACCGGAAATAGAGTCCTTCTACGAAGGAATTTTGTAAATGACACAAACCTTGTCAATTCAGAATCATCGTGCTCATCTCCTGTCTCCATTATACCCACGTAGATAAGAAAATCTCACGTAGGTATATCCGTTTGAGGTCTTCCAAAAAATAGAACTTGGCATAATTCCCATGGATCACTATGGGGTAAACGCGTATCAGTGATGTCACAGCGCCATATCGCGCACATTATCACGTTTTAAGTGGATTATAATCAGCGTGGGTGATTCAGAAAGATTTGCGGATTGTAAACACGACGATGGATAGTTCCGTTTTACTAAATGACTGTGACATTGAGAAGAAATAGTTTATAATCTGGAATTGAAATAGTGAAGCGGAGTAAAGGAAGAATAGGTAAATAATTTATGGAGATAGAGAATACTACAGACAAACGACATAATATAACTATTTATTTTACCAAATTCAAAACAGACTCCAATAAACGCAATAAAAAGAAGAAAGAAAAGCAAGACAGTGCCAGCCATAAAATTAATATACCTAGCAGAATATCTTTATGGTGCCAGCCTGCCACCATAAGCCATGCTAGTGGAACTTAATAGTTACCATCAATGAACCGACCCAGCTATGACATTGTCAGGAGGGCGTTACTACCAATACTGGATATTAGTACCTATTTTTGCCACTTGACGTTTCAGAATCATTTAACCATATTTTCCACTGACAACATCAGCGAATATTTTAACCGACTTCAACAAAAGGAGGAGGTTTTAGCAATTCAGCCACCGTTTTATAAATCCAGTTAACTACAGCCTTTTCCTTTGCGCTGTCATGAAAAAAAAAACACATAATAGTCCAGACCTCTTTTGAAACATTCCTATTCAGCCAGCATCACCCGTCTCCGCATCGATCGGTGTCAGTCACCGCTCGCATTCAGCTCTATTAAGGATTTGCCACAGTGGATGCGTTCTGCGGACATAGTCCACTTAAGCTTCAACCACACAAACGTGTGCAGATCGCGATCGCAGGCGCGATCATAGGCCAATGACAGGTCGCGCGACTCATGACAGTACGCGCGACCTGTCATTTATGCCTATGATCGCGCCGGCTATTCTGGGAGTGGGTAGGTAGTCAATGCGAAAAATCGCTCAAAGGTTGGAATGTGCAGGTGTCAAAATGTCCATATGGACCGGCTGTTAGTGTGCCAAAAAGTATAAACGTCGAAATGAGCAATGGTTAAAATGATCTGAAGTTAAAATGTCTTCTGCATGCATTGGTGTGGTTGAAGCATTAGAGCACCCACCACATATCGATAGGTGCTCTTCGTGGAATAGGCCAGGTGCTATTCTTGCGGGTGCTATTTGAGCGGGTGCTCTAAGTGGACTACGTTATTCTGCGGGCAACTGTTAAGTCAAAGTGAACGCAGCCCGCATCATATATGAACGACATTGTCGGTCTCTACATTTTGTATTGATGCAATGCACGAATGTAAATAACGCAATCCGCACCGCTAACAGATTGCCTTGTCACGACCGCTGACAGACTGTAACCTATTGCCTGGACCATTGACCGACAATATTGTTCTTAAATGAGGTAGGCTGCGTTCACTTTGACCTGACTGCTGCCCATTAAACGCATCCAGTGTGGCAAATCCTTAAGTCCAGTGACCATTTTTAGCGAATGCCGTCGTTTATTATTCAAAGCCTGCGTTCACCGCGATATTTTCTCGCCAATTATCCTCGGTTTCGGTTCCGAAATCGTTCCAAAACGCAAACCTTTTTCTGTGAACGTAAGGGATTTTTAAAGCTATTAAAAGATTGTATCAATTATTGGATTGGATTGGGTAATTTATTGTTCACACTGAGTTTGGGTTTGTAATAAAAGATTGACCAATAAAAGTTGTTGTTATTGGTGAAAATTGCTTCAGGAATGCTTTGGAAAAGTTCTACTAGCACGGATTAGATTATAAAACATCCTGTGGTAGATCTATATTATATCTGTTTTTGATTATAAACGATAACGAGCAAGATAAGGCGATTCAGAAATCACATCATTCAATGAGACCGATAAAACGAGATGTCAATATTCCGAAGAACGCATTTTATTTTCATGATTTAAAATTAATTTAGGCTGCATTGAGAAGCAATTCTTCTTTTGAACAGCTGTAGGATCTACAAGAATTCTTTATATCTTGAAAGACGGTATTTTCTAATTAGGCGACGTAGTCGTAAAGAGACCAATAAACTTTTTTTATTTTCCTACTATCCTTAGTTTAGTCCATCTTGAATGTTTGATACAACATCCATGCTTCCGAAATGAACGTCCCAAGGCATCTTTCAATGGAAGCTGCACTCTAAGAGGAATAAAAACTGAAACCGTTACAGGACAGCCTCGGAGGGCACAAGAGTGCTTATGAGGGCATAGACTGCCCTCCCCTCCACCCCCTCCCCGGGAGTTTTATGATATCCCCAGACGTGCTCATATAAAACGGTCCAAGTGTAGTAAAGGCTGCCCGGTTTATCTTACTTAAAATATTTTACCGAATCAACGGAATATCGCAGAGGGATATTGCAGAAACGTTTGGACGGAGTTGAGTTAACAAATCAACGTAAC